TTTACTAGTCGATCGAGCGTCAACCGAAGATCCAAACGAGCGTCCACGCAATTATTTTTCACCCTCGTGATTTCTCCTTTTCATTACCCATAACCACCCTCTTTACCACCACCCCCCTTGATCCTCCTCCACGTTCACGTTTTTCCCAAGATATTTTTTACAGCCTCGCGAACGTTTTGAAAATCGAAAAAAAAATTGTACCGAGGATTTGCCCAACGTTAATAAACAATACGTTGGTGAACAATCGTACACGGGGTATCGGGTACAGTCAAGTAAAAAAAGCGGCAAGCAACGATAACGAAGTCGACCATACGCACGGCCAATGAATACGGGAAGGGATAAACTAAACTGGGTTACTGTACTTTTATCCCGTATGTAAAACCAGGCGAATGTATCCGCGGCCATTGCTATTCGCGTCGGACTGCAACGTTTGTAATATATATATATATATATATATATGCATGTATACATCGACTTGCTGGACAATGATAGATCAATGCGACACGCTCGGATTAATGGGCGCGTATACACAGGAGCGACAGTGCGATATAGTCTGTATGCTAAGGCAATTCGATCGGGTTAGGTTAGATTAGGGCTAGCGTCGATATATATATATATATAAAAAATTCCATAAAGAGAAACAAAAAAGTTTCAACTGACGGAGACTTCCGGTATCCGTAGCAGCTGCATTCGCCGATTACGTAACCCGGAGATCCAGCAGATCCGGATACGCGAAGTGCACGCGAGTGACAGGTCAAAGGTCACGAGGGTGACTTGAAAACGTTTAAAAATTCGCAGAGCCATATATTAATCGAGCTATGATACTCGTGTGAACGGAGCCTTAACTTGTTTTAAGGATTTTCGCCTAGCGGCCGATATAGGTATACACGTGATTAAAAATCCTTGATTTACATCCCGGACTGATATGGGTTAGGTCACGTGTGAATGCGTCTTTGTCCGAAGACTTCAGACTGATAAGCCTTGGTGGCTTAATGATCCGACGCATCAATTACGTATCGTCATTAGCGTTCAGCGTTGATACGAGAGACCACGTGCAGGCGAGAAGATGCTTGGGTGAGGCTGGATTGGTTAAAAAATAATGTGCAAAGAAATTGCGAAAAAAATATACGACGGTAAATAGAATCTAAAAAAAAAAGAGACTTTATAATCGTGAGACGGTAGGAAATGAAATTAAAAAATTTTACAGACTAACCGAAAACTTTTGGGAAAAATTACGCAAACGCAAACCCAGTGAACAAATTCGCAGTATCACTTAGCCACCCCCCCGGACCTCCCCGCGCCGAGCCATGAAACCAACCCGAAACTCTCGCGTATCCAAAAAGCAAATTAACCCCGGACGCAAGTGAAATCGACGTCGACGCTGGCGTAGCGCCGACGCATACGGCTCGCAGGACGCATAAGAACCAACCCCCGTTGCAATATATTACGTCGAGGACGTCTCGTGCAATTTACGTACGATTATGCAGATGCGGATGCCTGAAATGCGCCTACGCGTTTGAGTGCTGGGTGGGTAAGGTAGAGTACCTGACGTACCTACAGAGCCTAGTTAGGCTCCACCGATACAATAGCAGCTATATTAACTGTATACGGGGTATGCAGGGTACGTGTATATACGTAGACGCAAATACCCAGAATCCACTACCTGAGGCGATACAACCTAACCTAACACACCAGGTACCTGGGCTCGAGAATTATCCCAAGAAGCGACGCCAGCGACACAAAAGTTAACGCCGGTTAGCAATGTTGCTAATTCTACGAACTCCTGCGGTACGCAGGATCGATCCGACGCCCGTGCCGTCTATCCTCCCGTATGGAAGACGCTCCGCGTGAAAGACGCGGTTCGCTCTCGGCGCACCCGGCAATAATTATCGCTCGTGACAGGCGTCGGGGACTGGAAAGCGGAAGCCGTAAATTAAGCCAGAGCGCGAAACCCGTTTCATCGCTAGATTCTATTAATATATTCCGCGGTTCGGTGGCTTCGAGTTTTCGAAGTGTTAAAAGGAAAAAGACACGGTTGACACGGGTAGCCGTAAAGATTGTACACTCGGAAGACACGAGACTGCGGTGAAAAGTCGAGATATTGAGAAATATGAGATTTTCGAGAAAAAAAGTCATCCGTTATAAACATCGACGAGACAAACCACGTGGTGCAGGTGAATTCTGGACAATTATGTAAATCCTATATAAATGAACGCGTTATTACGAGGCTACGGTTCACTACGTCCGGTTATGCCAACGACACGCGCGTCACTTCCGGAAAGGACGATTCGTCCTTCGGATCGAACGCGCCGAAGACGAAAGTCCCTTAGCAACGTACGGTACCAGAGTTGCCAACTACGGAAGCGAGAAGTAATTTTGAAAATAAAAAAAAAATTTAACCACAGAATAGCCTCCTACCTTAATTACGGCACTCTGTGACGCGGTTAAGCGGTTTCTATAATCGGTTAGAAAAAGAAAAAAAAAAAAAATCTTACAAGCCTTTAAAACGTTCCTGACATGGTCCCCACATCCTGTAGGGTGTGCGGTCGTTTTATTAAGTAAAAAAAAAAAAATGCCCTAGACACAATCAGAGTATCCGACTACACCGAGTACATTTATCGAACGACGGATGGACTCGAAAAAATTTGGAAGAATTGCTAAAATCAAAAAATTATTTTTTTTTATCCATCGGATAATCGGATATCCATCGGATCGTGGGGGATGATATAACGTAAGTCCGTTACATATAGATATACTGCGAAGAGCAACCCCCCCCTTCCCGGCCTATTCCACGCAACTGCATAGGGATGTAAATTCACGTGCACTTAGACGTACTAAATTACGATGATTTTCATTAGGGGCGATTATTCTGGCCTGGCTGAACAGGCACGCACTCCGACCACTGTATGCATACAGGGTGTTTCATTATTTGTAAACCATTTTATTTTCTCGTTCATCCCCCTCGGAGGATAAATTTAGCCAGAACTTACAGGGAGATGATATGGACTCCGAGGGTCTCTGCGTAACGTTATACCTCAGCACCTACAGCTACCAACCCCTATCCAGGACCACCCCAATACACCACCCCCCTGTATCACCCCCTCCGGTCTACCGTACGCTTAGTAGTACGGGATATCAAAAATATGTTAATTTTTCCAAAAATTTTCAAATTTGAGTTATCGTCGTGCCTATGAAAAACAATTATAATTCGTATATGTGAAATTTATGACAAAGTGCAAAAAAAAACACGTGTGGCTGTCAATTGCGAAATTATTCGTAACTTAAGTAAACCGATCGACGCAGCCAATTGAATAACTACGCTGTCGTTGTATATCTGTATACATCGACCGTTTCGTTTCGCCAGTGACAAGCCGCAAGTCGCGTTCACACGTTCGCGACACCGCGGTTTCGTAGGGACGGTAGTTCGGTGTAGATTACCACTTTGTATTGTGACGACGGGTTGTGCAAAATCGCGATACATGTGGACGACCATTTATGTATACACATGTCGACGATATATCTACGGGTGTGTGTGTATATATATATATATATATATATACATATTATATATATATGTGTATATATATATATATATATATATATATCCAGACTCGTATCGAGGTCGACCGGTTCTCCAGCAGCCGTCAGGCCATTACGGGGACATTGCGACATTGGCGCCCGGTGTGTGCAGCGGCGATTCGTCAAATGCCGATAATATTTCGAATATATATATATATATATATAAAATCGCGATACATGTGGACGACCATTTATGTATACACATGTCGACGATATATCTACGGGTGTGTGTGTATATATATATATATATATATATATACATATTATATATATATGTGTATATATATATATATATATATATATATCCAGACTCGTATCGAGGTCGACCGGTTCTCCAGCAGCCGTCAGGCCATTACGGGGACATTGCGACATTGGCGCCCGGTGTGTGCAGCGGCGATTCGTCAAATGCCGATAATATTTCGAACCTAACCTACGACACGAGAAATAGCGACTAAATCGCAATAGATCGGAGCGCCTCATAGGCTTGACGATCTTGACGTTACTTGAATACGAGTCAGAGTAACTGGCAAATTTTTCGGCATAGCCGAAACACGTGGAAAATTCGTAGATGACGAGTTAGGGAATTTTGCAGGGGGTGCACCGAGGCAAGAGATTTAGAAATTATGCGAGTCGGTCGTCCAATTGGAAATTAACGATTACGGGCTGATTTCTATGCTCGAACTTTGGGGAATTATCCGAGCGAATAAAATCACGAGTAAATTTCACGTAGACGCTCGGCGCCTTTCGATTGATCCATGAGGCAGGGTAAGCCAACCTAACCTGACGTCGACGAGCACATTGGCCAAACGTCACGGTTGACGTTAACGGTCGTGAAAGTAAAGCCGGTAAATTCGTTCGCATTAATGCGACTATCGCGCTCTGTGATTTTCCGCGATCGGCGGAATTATTGCCCAATGAATTTTTGACGCAGTCATTCGCTGTACGGGAAACTTATTTCATTCGTTTTATGACACGCGTAAAAATTTTGAGCACGTGGCCCGAAAAAAAAAAAAGGAAATTTGAAAATTGTCCATTTTCAATATTAAAAATATATAGTCCTGACGTTATCTAATTAAGATCCAACAACCGTTCGAATCGCTTCGATAATTATTAGACGAGCAATGAGACCTTTTTGTTTTATTTGATAAGAACCAATCAGCTGATTTGGTCGACAATTGCGATATGACGAAAATTTCAAAAATATCTTAGGACCGGCATAACAACGCCGTATTCGCGTGTGGGTCAGCGCATACGTACACGAAAAAAAAAAAAAAAAAAAAAAAAAAAAAAAAAAAAAAAAAAAAAAAAAAAAAAAAAAAAAAAAATGAAAAAAAAAGGCACGTATAAGTTCGACCACAGATAATATAAAAGTTGTAAGAGTGCATATATAGGAGAAAAAAAAAAGAAAATTTCTACAATACCGATGCTATTCTGAGTACTGAGTTCCCAGTCTTTCATGAGGATTTCTCGGGCAGGTCAGGTTGACAGCGACGTGGTTACACCTACAATGCAGACAGTGATCTTAGATAAAAAATATGAATTACCAATAGCAAAAATGATAAACAATAAATAACGATCACCTATATATATTCACAATAAAGGATAATTTTTTTGGAAAATTATTTTAAAAAATGCGTCACGATTCCAAATCCCAGCCTTTCGCACACACGGTACATGCGATCGAACCATATATCGCATGGACCAATTAATTGATCAAATAATTACGACAGCCCGTATACGATCGAGTATCCGAACAATCAATAATCGTTCTTTTTTTTTTTTTGAGAAATCGATAAGCAAACAAATACTCCCAAAAAAAAAGTCGCCACCCGTAATACAAGGCACGCTTATTCGCGTGGCAATGTTAACGTAAAAAAAAAAAAGAAAAAAAAAAGAACAGTGCATTACGCTCGGTCTCCACGAAAGCGTAAAGCCAACTGGGCAGCCGTTGCGTAAGGCTGAGTTATTCCAAAATTTTCTCCCGGCAAATATTTCATAGCAATTAGACATTTTTAATTCCGCCACATAGCAGCCGCCGGTATCCGCCGCCTTCATCGTTGCAGCGGTCCGTCGCTCTCGCGCGTTTTACCAGCCACTGCGAGGGTCACGTTCTACGCGTTGGACTCTTTCGCCTGCAACAAGGCGGGTGCGCAACGGCAAAGCGGAAGGAAATAAATGAGAAATTATTTTCGTACTGGCCTTAAGGCAGTCTTTGGTACCGAGTAGGACGAATCGATTGTCCACATAAAATTTTCAGGATGTTTATTGGGATAGAGGGGAGGCTGTGCATATGACGTATCCACGTGTTCGGATAAAAGACATAGGTGAGTACGATTGACCAGGGTCAAGAACAGCAACGTGTAACATGGGCTTTCAGCTTGCGAAGGGTCTTTTATCCTAAACGCGCAGGAGAAAAGACAGCGATCTGTCAAACGCATGTTACACGTGGGTGACCACGTGTTATTTCGTGGGAGTGAAGTATAGCGGGTGGGTGGATTAAACGAGAGTAATAGGACTTTTGGAAATTTCCCAAAGTGTCGAACCGTGCGCGAGTGTATATATACAAGAATTTTGGAAACGTGAGAAAAAAAAAAATTATACTAAAAAAAATATGTAAAACGATATGACGTGAAATTACCAGAAATAAAAGTCGAAAACCCCGTGGCAGCAGCGTGCCACCGGAAATCCCGGTACGCGAGTCATTTCAATTAAGCATTCCGGAAGTGCCCTGTCGAAATCGGAGTATATATGTTGTTTTTTTGTTTTTACTGTACCTCTAACACCAAGACCGGGAGGATTCGGCTGGTTCCATTTGACGAACGGACCGACGAACCGAGGGCAGCAGTGCTACCAACGTACTGAAGGTATTTGCAGGACGCAAGCAGTGAGGGACGTTCGATACGGGGTGAAAAAAAAAGTAGGAAACAGATACGAGTACCGCCACGTGGGGGAGGTCAGGTAAAAAAAAAACAAACCCACGTGGCATACGTCAAATTGAAAAATCAAAACCATACACAATTCCCGACGTGTCATTCGCGGAGCCCTGGATGACGTAAAATTTTCAGGGCGTCGCGACGCCTCGATCACGGATTGTCAATGTGAAACGCGCGATAACGAAGTTTTCGTACGACGCAACCACCAGATTTGTGCGAAAAAAGTATGAAAAAGATGAGTAACGAGAAGGAAAAAAAAAATACAAGCAACCTCAAGGTGCATATCCATGATGGTCTGGCATCTCAGGGGAGAACCTAAGGCAAGGCCCAGCCTTACCTGACCCAAGACAGAACAAGGCAAGTACGTGCCTAAGGCAGCTTAGCCACGTATCAAGGCATACAAAGTCATTACATCGAAGTAGCCGCCGTACGCGTCTACCGGGTGACTCGGTGCAACCTCAGCGCACCGGATATGCAGTTGCAGTTGCATTCGCTACGGCGGAGGAATGCGCCGTATGTTAAAACGTTAATGCCCGCGACCCCCATTACCCTTTCGCCCATTGTCTTCCTTGTAATTGGCCGATCCTCGTAGCAGCGACTGCTTCCCCGAAGCATTCGTTTCCCGTATAGTCTTTTCGTTTCGGTCTTCAGGCCGCGTTTCTATGTCAGCGACCGAATCCCACCCACCGTCCAGTAACATCGCTGCCTTGATACTTTGTGACGCCGGCTCTGTACACACGGCTCTCCGCGGACTTTCCGCAGTCGGCGAGGGTCTCTGTATTGCTTTTGCCGATTGTAAAGGCTGTTTTCAAGTCGGCGACGAAATCGCTCCTAAAGCCTTTCTAACCGCACGGATCGGCTGTACGAGAGCTGCGGTGGACGTAAAGGCACCGTTGGGATTTATAAAAGAAATTTACCGCTCGCTCACGGCGATAGGACTCGTATAGATATTATACGTGTGTACGCACCTTTATGTCGCTACGCGATTGATTTAACGTATACGTATATAATTCGCGGAATTCTTCATCGGGGCTTCCATATTTCTATAGTTAATATGAGACATTTCTCGAATTCCACTATTCGCAGTGCACAAACACCCCTCCGGCTTCCGGTACGATAACACCGCGCTCTTTTTTTCTCTTTTTTTTTTTTTTTTTTTTAAAA